GCCCCCCTGCAATACCGTCGCGGCCCACTAGGGGGCCGCGGCCCACAGGTTGAAAACCACTGTTTTAGATAATAGTTTTTCGACAATCCAGGGTCACGTGTATCTTTAAACTAATTTGTCATTAATGACCACACTTCCATGTCCCCCGGAAGTAAAATCAGTTCAGTGAGCTAAAAGCCCAAATACCCAGCTAAGAGATGGCATAAAACTATTTTCTAGATTCCAGAGGGTTATTTATGAGGGTGAATATTACATCACTTTTTTCGAAAACAACATCGAGAAAGCTGTCATAGAGCCGCTGTCAGAATGACACCAATTACAGGAAAACCAAAATAATGCAACTGAATTGCTGAACGAGTACATGTAAATCCTGCAATTAAGATAGACTGGATTTTGACATACGATGGCAATCTACTGGGAAGACCATATCACCCAAAAAACAGTAAAAGTGATAATACTAAAAGAAATGAAGAGGAGATAGAGGATAAACAGAAACCGATCGATGATGTGTCCAATCTGGGTCCACAAGTCATCAGCGCGGTAGTCTGGGAGGTGTTCCTCTGCGTGACTGCGAATGGCTAGAAGGTCCTGACTCAGTTTCTTCAGCTCCTCTACAGCTGGACCCGCCAGTCTTGTCCTGTCCTGGGCCTCAGTATCCTTTGCTGGCTCCACTAATTTCATGGCATCATGCGAAATGAAAAAGGCTGAGGAAGCTAGAAGAACGTAAAAGTTACAAAAGCCATAGACATACAAGCAAATTAGAGTATGGTCACAAAGGGTGAGCACCTAATCCATGTCAGTGGGGACATTTTTGCTCTCTCCTAATTCCCTGGCAAATGGGAGAGAGCAAAAACACGGACCATCTGGGGTTCCGCAAGGCCTGGGTTGAGAATCCCTGCCCTAGGGTAACATTACATAATGCCTTATTGTGCAACACGTAGCTTATATAATGTAAATAATCCCTACATAACCACACATAATTGATGTATGTGACTTATTAGAGAATTACACTTCTGTCGTTTGCATGATGTCTTTGACGTCTTCATACCCTCAGTAGTAGTGGAGTGGGTATCTGTCACCTGATCACCCAGTTTCTGGGGAAAGCGAACAAGCCAGGCCAGGTATTTAAAAACGAGGATCTGGACCCAGTGAGGTACTGCAGAGTGGTTGGATTTGCACAGGATTTTGGTAATGATGATAGTCTCCAGAAGGCTTGCTACCATCAAAGCCAGGCAGACAGAGAAGACGACATCTAACGACAGAAGAAGAGAAAAGGTCTAGTAGCTAAATATGTGTTATTGATGTCAAAAAACAATGTCATTGAAATAAACTTAAAAATTTACTAAGGAGTGGAAGTCTATTTCCGGTAATAGGTAGCAAATCATTCATGATGAGCAGGAATACAGTGTAGCCCAAGATGATGGTCATCTTGAAGGTGGCACGGTCTACAGCCTCTGGTGGCAGAAGAAAGCTTAAGAGGTCCACGATCATGAGGAAGCAGCTGGGGATCAGGAGGTTCACCACATACATGGTGGGCCTGCGTCTCATGACGATCTGAACGGAAAGGGAGGAACCAAATTCTAATACTAACATATATTGAGAAACACGCTACCCATGATAACTAACATCAACTGTTCTACACAAAAATCAATCTCAACAGCTTTCCAGAATTTGAATCTGATTCCTGAAGTTTCTTAATATAACACATTTTCACTTCTAAAATACTCACATGGTAGACAATTGTGTCATAAGTTTCATTGGAAAAATTGTATTGAGTAACTTTAATAGCTTTGATGTCTAGTAGTTCCCACTCCCCAATAGTCGTCATCACCAGCTTGGAATATCTCAGTGTCTCCTCGCCTGAAATGCCCATATCCACCCGAAGGTCATAATCTGCAGAGTCAGAAGAATCTTTCCTTACACAAAAAATTCATGGAGTTAGTAACCATATGTATAATTCAGGGTAATGTACCTTATATCTCACTGTTTTTTTTACAACTGCAATATATTGATCAATGGCAGTTGCTCAACACCATACTGGCCACAATAGGAAGATTAAATGGCACTGTAATCAGTGGTAAGTCACGATGAATTAATTTTTATACCCTCTCTGACATTGGCACACATGAAACAGGCAAGTCCCCTATGTTGGTGTTACTGGACGGTTTATTTCTGGTAATTGACTAATCGTTTTCCAAATTGGATTAATTTATTTTCCCCCATTTTGTCTTTACTGTGGCCCGACGGTAACTAATGTCAGTCTTTGTCTATTTTGTCAGTACGGATGCTCCACTACTTACGAACTTTCAGACATAGGAACGAAGAAGACTATAAGTCCAAATTGTGTTCATTAGGCTCCCGTTTCCTGTCCGCAACATCAAATTTTTTTTCTGCGCGCCAATTCCGCCTAGTATGACTTCTGGCCGCTACTCCCGCCGCGCAGCAGCGTAGCGTACGTACTCCCAGCATCCTAGTTCTTTGTACTTGCGTATACCCTTAAAATGGTATTGAACAACGACTTACGAACATTTCAAGTTACGAACGCCCATTCGGAACGTATCTTGTTCGTAAGTAGAGGAGCGTCTGTATTTATAATCAGTTGTAAGTGCATAATGTTTCACAAATATCAACAGTTATAAATTTTTGATGCGACTTTGGGCCCTGAATGATGCTCTTTGATTCTGTGCTAGTTAAAGTAGTTTCAAAATATTAAGGAAATTCTATACAATGCACTTTATATATAAACACACACACACACACACACACACACACACACACACACACACACATATATATATATTACTGATTTAAATGCTACTGTATTATATGTAGCTCTTGTGATTGATAGTGTTCTTTTCAAGTAACTACCCAATATTTTCTGATTTTAAAGTCGTTGTGAAACATTGTGGCTTATATAACCTGTGTGTCTCTCACCAAGGTGCGTGTAGGAATTAAAGGTCAACGAGCAGTTCTGGACATCAAACGGAAAGGTGTAGATGTCCAGGTTACAGGAGCTGATGGCTCTCACTGGCCGGCTGTCAGATACCAGTCCAGAGGAGTACAGGTACACGTATGTGGTTTTGGGGGAAGTGTCACCATCCATGCTGCAGGAGAAGGGGAACAGCAGCATTATTGCTGTAGAACAAAACAACTGCAGAACTGGAGAACAGAAGAACACAGTCAATACCCATAATCAACTGCCAATTTCTGCTTATGCTATTAACAGATATTTAGCTAACTTCATTAGACAAGAAAATGGAAAAAGGCAGATTTATCTTTACGTCGATCCAGAATTTATTCAGCAAAGCACAGTCCAAGACACCAAAGTCAAAACACCAAAGTCCGTCCAGTCATATAAACAGGCGAATATAGGTAAACAGAGATATGATGGATAAACAGACAAAGAAAGAGCAGACAAACAGCCATATGATACCGGAAGCTGTAGGCATACAGGCACTCACCACTCATTAATACCAATATCTGGCACCCAAAGCTTCTTCCTGGGAAGAGTGATCACTGCTGTTCCACACTGCACAGGGTCCCAGCTCAGAAACTCAACGTACCATTCCTTTATGGCACAAAATAGACTTAAGGGGTTAACACGATTAGGACCTTTCATGATTAAATATGCATGATTAATAAAATTACATGTGAATTAATTATAGAAATGTTGGTAACGTTTCACTTGAGGGGGAACAAGTGCTGTTATGTAGTACACTGCAACTTAATGTATTAATCAACCAGAAACTGTTAGTTACACACTGATCCCATCTTCATTCATCATTAATTAGTCATAATGGTTCATGTATTTCATGCAGGAACTATATTTGCTAATGATTTGTATTTAGTAACTCAGCAACTTAGTTAGGTACTTGTGGCCCCTCAAGTAAAGTGTTACCAAAATGTTTTATGTTCGTATGTTGACTTTAGTCGTTTTGCTCTTTATATTTTTTTCCATTTTTTTTTCTGTGTATTTCATTTAACTTGCTGTATTAGTTCAAGCTCCATTCATAATTAAGCATAATTCTCACCAGGTTAAGCCAAAGGTAAGTCGTTAATATCTGTGTCTTTTCATCCTACAAAAGACAATAATTTAAATCGATAGCGCAGTCCATCAAAACAAAAATAAAGCCAAGTATAATGATTTTATGAATAAACAATTTTTGCACGGTTTAAAGTTACACGATATTACCTGGGAAATCTACAGAATACAGCACATCTGAGCTTAGTTAAGCTAGCTTTCATTTTCTAAGGTGTTAAACCTGATGTGCTGCGTTTTAACCATGCAGAAGATGAGTAAACATGGATACAAGAAGGAGCTACTGCATGGTAACTAACAGTTCTGTATTAGGCAGCCGTGCATTTCACTCACCACCCCGAGGATACTATAGAGTGTTACTGAGAGAGTGACATTGGTGGGTGTCTTCAGGCTGTACACGGGACGGACGGCGCTTAGGTAGAATGTCTTTTCTATTTCCACGTAGAGCGATTTAGCATCAGGCTGGGAGCAGTTCAGTGTTACAGCACGCGTTATGTTTGGAGCTGCAGAACAAGAGTTTCCATTTACCATCCCATTATTATATATGTCACTCGTCCTTTCATTCTCCAGTTTTACCGAAAATCCAGTTATGTGCGTTTCACATAAAATATTTTGTGGGTGACAGCAATTATTATTATGAGTTATTTTAAACACTACTTCGCTGCATAAGTGAAAGGAACAACTGGTTGCAACTGTCAAACAGCCATTTTAATATACGATTTAAGGGTTTTTCTATTAGGGAGTTCCTATGGAGATTAGTGGTGAATCTGAACTCTTATTACCATAAAGACAGAGAATGCAAATGAAAAGCGCCAGCTCTTCCCTGCCGTTCAGCCCAGGGATACCCGTCTGAATTCTGGGAGCTGCTCCCCCCTGTGGTTTCATGTGGAATCGAGGCAAGAAAAACTTTACAGTACAGCTTTACATTCAACATTCTTACATGCACAGTAGATAAATGCTAGTTTGTTTGTAGTTTTCAGTTTAACATAATGATCATATTTTAATATTTACTTTTCAAACGTTTAATAATGATGAAGGGTTAATTTCGACTTTACAAAACAATACACTAGCACAGTTTGATATTATACAACTTTGTATTTTAAGCATTTAATTTATTAATTTGAATCTTATTAAATAAAACTCACAGTACCTGCACTCTTTTGTCCATTGGAAATGACAGTTCTCTCAGTTAGTTACTATAATCAATTTTTTTAATTCAGTCTTTGAAATCATGCAAATTATGAAGCTGTTGAGCAATCGTGTTTCTAATGGCTAACAGAAAAGTGAATCCTATTTTCAAAGGCCACTCATTGCCTTATATAATTTTTACTTGGGGGTGGGGTGTTCAGTCCTGATATAAGATATTTGCATATAGTTTTACCTATTTATATACAACAGGTGTCTGTGTTTAAAAATAAGATGTGTCCCATGAGTTTGGATTAGACACATAATTAATAGCTGCTTTGTTAAAATCCTGCAAAATATAAACTCTTCCTTCCTTGGATAATATCTAAATGAGTCATACATTTATTACCATGCATTTTGATGTATTCATGGCCCTGTTAAGGTGGTTTCATGGACAGCACGGAATCAGTGGTCACCATTGCCGCCTCACATCTCCAGGCCTTGGAGCGTTGAGTCCTGCCCCAGCTCTGGGTGGAGTTTGCATATTTCCCCATGTCATGCCCCAGCCACAGTCCGAAGCGGCCAATAGAGAGCCTCGGGGGAATTCCCGGTGGGCCAGTCAGAAACAAAATAATTTGACGGGTATAAAATTGAGCGAGTAGGAAACAAAATAATTGTACGACTTTAAAATTCTTCAACGACGTTTGAGAATGTTAACCAGTGAGTTTTCTGGAAAGTATTCTGTAGAAATAACAGCTGCCATCCTGTACTTCATCCCCATACTGACCTTTTCACCTGGAACACAAATTTTATGAATATATACCATAATAATCCATTTATATCTCACTGTCCTAATATTTTTGTTTCTCAATGTTGATAGTCAAAATTAAGAACTAAATGTTATATTCAAAATGAAGCTCTGCCGCATCCCATAATGCAAAGCGTACCTGGCTACGGGCTCAGATCTGCAGAGTTCACCTTGAAGCTGGGTCAGATTGAGGTCAGATGTCTGCACAAACGGACCACTAGAGTTGTTTGGGACCAGATCAAGACCAACTCCTCTCTAGGGTCTCGGTCTGGTCCACACCATAGTGCAATTACTGTGTTCACACCTGCCCAAATGAATCACCCCAAGAGAGAAATCGAACCAGTGTCCATTTTAACTGGACTAGAAAATGTTGGTGTGAAAACACCCTCAGGTTGTTTTTGGTGAATGCCCCCCCCCCCCCCCCTCAAAGGCATATTTGAAACTAAAGGCTTATTACTCAATGCAGGGTTGCCAAGTTTGGTCAGTTGGCTGGTATGAGATTTTCAATTCGAGGCAAGTCTGCACACGCAATTACATGCATGTAACAGTTTTGTTACTCTGTAAATAGTCTGTAGGGTTTACAAACAACCCAAATCTTTTGATATAGCTAATTTTAGGTTTATAATGGTATAATATAGATTTGCCATAAGATTTCTTGTGTGACCATGAGAGTCTGAAACCGTGAGTTTATGCCAGATGCGTGAGAGCTGGCAACCTTGAGAATATATCAAAACGGGAATCAATTGTTTTGTAGGTACTGATAGATAACCCTTTAAAATATTAAGAAAAAGTGTCGGTATCAAGTTTAAAGATTCTCAAACTAAACACTGCTGATAAAACACCTCCAAAAAATCAAGCACGTAAAGAAAGTTTTTCAGTCACTATATTTTCGAAACAGTAGCCCAACATGTGAACATTTCGTTTAACAGTGTTACATTTTTGCACACATTGGCTATTTGTAACAGTTGGTGTCTCGTTTTTGCACCAAAACACCCAAAACACAAACAGAAACAAAAGGCAACACCTTGTCAAACGACACTGTTTTAAACTACAGTATTTACAAGCACTTAAATTGCTCTGAACTCTGTCCATTGTCATATTCATTTAGCTCCCCTGGTGCCACTCCTTGTAGAAGTTTCTGCATGTCACAACAGGATATGAGTCAAGTTGATTTGAGTCACTCATGCGCTGCTGATCTGAGTCGACTGTGTTAAAGTATTAAACTGTTAAACTATTCAAGTAATAAAGGACTTTAGACCATCTGCCAAACCTGCACTCTTGTCAGTAATTGGAAGTTAAGGGTTAATCTCATGTTATTTGCATGAACTTTCATAAATTGGCTAATTACCTTTAACTGTCTGTATTGACTCTGACAAAGCCCTTCACAGGAACTGGACATTTAGATTTTTTTTCTGTTTGCCTTGCTTTTAGTTGATTTTCAGTTTTAGTTATTTTTAGTTAGTTATTAGTGCTTTTCTACTTGGCATTCAGCGTTGATGCATGCACAACTCAAATCCACGCTTCAGATCCTGGAGTGACTCTGCTTTCGATAAAGCAGAGTGTCTCTTGGCAGAATATGCAACACTGAGTAAACATAAAACAGCAAACTTTCATCCACCCATCCATTTTCTGTAATCGCTTGTCCTGTTCAGGGCTGTTCAGTCTGTCCCCTATACCTAAGGCTATATACACAAGGCAGGGAACAACCCAGGATGGGGTGCCAACCCATCACAGGGCATAGTCACACACCAATCATTCACACATACACACCTACGGGCAACTTGGCAAACCTCAGCATGTTTTTGGGGAAAACAGAAACTCAAATGATATATTTCAAGGGCTTTTTTATTGCAATAAATAGTCAAAGTTAAGATGCCTTTTTCTTCCCATTCTTTCAGAAAAAAAGAGAAGGTGAGTTACAACGTCTGAGCTGCATTTGTAACTTAGTGTTATATGGGGGAAAACGCAATTCAGAAATACTCATTACTCTGAATATTTTTTAATAGGCTACTGTTACTACAGTAGTTTTCCAGTTCCCAATCTCTTAGGCAGTACATGATCATGGGACAGGGGATTTATACTGTAAGAATCAGTTTAAACCAGCAACAAAAGCATTTTTTAAAGATGAAAGCTGCCATTGATTGAAGATGAAAACATAGCATTGCTTTAGAGGAGTATATAATTATATTGTATCTGGGTTCCTCTTACAACACAGTACCAAATAAGTTGCAGTTTACAACCTGGTGGGTTTGACAAGTGCATTGTTTAACCAAACATTTGATTTAGAAACTTTCATTCATTCAGAACAGTTCATGTTTCTGTAGTGATCATTGAAAAATATTCAATTTAATACACAAACGCCATCAACATTGCTAGTAATATTGTATATTTCTTATGTTTTATATATTCCAATATGCTGAATGCATGTGACATTGTTAGTGGCACGACAATGTTCAGAAGTCAGCTTTTAGTGCAGACGCCTTGGAGACAGGCCTCACAATGGCTGGTCTCATGCGGACCATCTACCTTCCCATCAAAGTGGAAGAACTTCCCCTTCTCGCCACAATCCTCCTTGTAGCACTTGATTCGAATTTTCTCCATTAGCTTCTCCAAAAGCAGGTCTATGTTGTCCGTTCGGAATCGGGGCTCCTCAAAATCAGGATCTGCACACCTCTTGCACTTCTGTTTGTAGAAACGCACCTTGACGGTGCCCCGCTCCTCCTGCGTTCTCAGGCGCATGTTAAACACCACCTTCACCCTTTTTGAGGGCCACATATTCTTGCACTTTGAGCATTTGAACCTTGGTTTGGAGAGACATGGACATAGTTATTAAGGAACAATACAGCAAGTACACAGATGATTATAACTGGCTCAGAGAGTGCATGAAGAGCTCAAGCAGCATTAGTATACATCATATTGATTTTTTTTAACATATAGTATACAATTTTGAAAAGGGACAATTATTAAAATTGCAAAGATTGCTAAGTTTTCTTTCCTCTGACAGTAAAGCTGTTTTAGTGGAACTTGATAATCTTGATACACCAGGCTTGGGCAGCATTACCGTAATGCGGTATACCACCATATTTTGATTTACAGTTTCCTCATTTGGGAGTGTAAGAATTAAAACTGAACATAATTCAATAATAGCAAGGAATCCACCATTAGCACCTTATGGGCAGTCATTAAGTCAGATAACAGGACAAAAAAATGTATTCATTCTTAATTGCACAGTATGCTTCTATCAGGTTTTGAACACCCTATAGAATATTACTTTCTCGCCTGAACAGCATCATGTCAATCATACCTCCCATTGATGTTGCGGATGTACTCCATCCATCCATGTTCTGGAGCGTTTGCTATGATCGAATCATCACGTTCTATCTGCCAGCTATCACTTTTCCCCAGTTCTTCTATCCTCTTCTGGAAAATTTCCCGCCATTCTCGATTCATGACTTTTAAAATTGATTTATTTATTTTAACTTGTATATCAGTTTCTTGACTTGTACAGCTGCTTGCTTGATTCTCTCCAGCCTGTACTCTAGTTCCTCTATTTATACTCCTGTATCTGCGAATACAGTGAACTCCAGTGAACGCCAGGAAAATGAAACTGAAACTCAGTTTTTATGAGCCTGTTCACCCTGTTTCTAGTGTTATCGCTCTATCTATGGAAACAGTGCACTGCAAATCTTTTATTTATAACCATGACTAAGTCACTCTGTAGCATGTATTATAAATAATTATATATGTCAATTGAAAAACTGCTATATTTTCTTTTTTTTAATAGTTCCTTTGAATACATTCTTCAAAAGACAACAAAGACCTTCTTCAAAAGCATCTTGATTCAATGCAGTGGATGACCTAGGAATTGAAACTGTCTGCCAGAAGATCAGTATATTCTACTATTCCGTGGGATTATGAAACTGGTATTTACAAGAGGGTAAAATAGGTCAAAGACTAAATGTATTGTGTTACAATTATCACACTCCCTAATGCCACACAGTACTGATTAAAGAACTTTATTTGCAGGCAAGAAATGTACTGTTGCTAAATGCATGTTAAGCAACGAAAAGATGAGAGGAACAGGAAATGATCAGGCAAGCTGTTGTGCAAAGGGAAAATTGGACGAGGAGCAAGGTTTGTTCACTTCATTCCTTAGAAATCCTTCATCATTCTATATCTTTCAGTTTTGTTGGTGAGAGTTGGGAAAGGAAACAGAAAGCAATTTGAAAATAGCAATGTAAACACTGTCGCCACCATGTGGATGAATTATGCATAGTTTTATACATTTGTAGACCGAGTTGTCAGACGTGGAGGTGATTCGTCGGGTAGAACCAGGGTTGGGGGGTTGAATTCCTCCCCTCTCTGCATGTGTGGATTTGCTTGTTTTCCCCTTATTATGGTCATTTCCTCCTTCAAGCCAAAGACATGCATTTACATGAATCTCGAAATTGCCTGTAATGTATGAATGTGTTTGTGCCTGCAATGGACTGGCATTGCATCCAGCTGTTTCCCCTGCTTTCACATCACAGCAGTTTAACACTGGAAGAATAAGATGTGAGAGCACATTGACCACTATACATAATCATTAACTTTAGTCTTTCTTTCTGATATCTTCAGACAAATAATGCATTTTGGCTTTAAATATTTTCATTTGATGGTACATATAGTAGCTGGGCAAAGATGCTTGAACACATGCAGCGATTTTTGTCCTTGATATCAAGTTCATGCATACAATTTTAAAAACAAATAGTTTTATCATGTTACAATATTTTTATGGTTTTATGCCACCTGACATGGAAAGTGTGCAAGCATAACCATGAATTGAAAATTGCCATTTTTGTCAACATTTTAGTTAGGTCTACTGACTTTTTCACTGCACCATGGAGAACACTTGAGGGCTCCTTTTTGATTTAACATCTGGTCCACTGTTTTCTAAAACATCTTTCAAATAAAACCCCCTCTTTCCAATGGTACATTTGCAATTTGTGGACATATATTTTTTTTAGTTATCTACTGGTTTTAAAATCACAGTGATTTATTTTTTCATACCAATTAATTAATTTTTTTAATTACTTTACCAATTTTAATAGTTTTCTTACTCTGCTGATTTGTTTGGGTGGTTGCAGCACCTGGCATTTTTGGACTCCGCGAAACAAATGTATTGAAAATATTTGCATTAAAGAAGTTTCGTACAATCATCTATGCAATGCTATATGTTCATTAAAGTATTAAAAAATGTCAGACACATAAAACATGTATGTCATGTCATTTGCCCGCATGCATTTGCTTTGCGATATGGCTGGAAACTCTGCAGTGCTCTGACAGAAAACTTGTTTACAAAAGGAAGAGACGGAAAGCGCTGCGCGGAAAGTTTCGGCGAGCAAAGCGTCACATGACATCCTCGTAGGCCGTCTGCAGCGCTTCTCTTGACAGCGTTGCCTGTTTGTGGAGCATAGTGGGACTGTATCGGTTACAGAGAGTCACTGGTTATTTTTTTGTTGCTGTGCTTTTTTCCATCTGCCGTGGACAAACACAATCATTCTTAATCTGCTGTGTGGAGCATTTTGTGACGAAAACAAGGTGCTTAAGCAGTGATTGATGATAAGTGGTAAGAGTAGTTTGTTATTTTGTGAAAAAGTACATGCTATGTTTCCTTTATTGTTGTCATTTTGTTTAGTTGAATCAACATTTTTACATAAACAACATTTTATAGTTATTTAAGGGAATATATAATCTAAATGTCATTCCTCTTTGTTATAATACTTAAAATATGCAGAACTGTCAGCTTATTATATCAGATTTCATCCAGCAGTATTTCAGAATTTTTTCATTTCATATTCTTTTTCAGATCTTCAGATTTCTATAATAATGTATTTCACTCACAATATGTGTAATGTACATGACATAAATTTTATGCTAATCTTATAATTCTTTTAAGCATTTTAAAATTGGCAAATAGCTGCAATATTTATTCATTTAATATTGTATAGAATTTTATAAAGTATTAACAGTACATTTAACTGCATCAAGATACATTTTTATTCTCTTGCTTTTTGTGATTGCTGATATGTTTTTTCTCATTTTGTATCTATGTCTTAAAATTATTAACTGTATTTGTTTTAGACTTATTTGATTACTTATTGCTAGTAATTAAATTTTGTTTTTATGGTTGTTTTATATAAAGCACTTTGGTTGCAGCACTTTTGCTGTTGTTTTAAATGTGCTATATAAATAAATTGACATTGACATCAATCTAAATGATCATTTGGTACTAATTAGATTTTGGTATTAGCACTCAAATTAACAGATCACAATTAATAGATTGTTATTTATCTATTCATCTTGCGGATTAAAAAGAAATCAGTTAATTTTTTTAATATAAATCATTTACTGTCATTTTTGCAAATAGTGTTACATTAAGTTTATATACAGGACAGTAGCACCTTATTTCAAGATAAAATACGTATGATATCTGTAATCACACAAATATGCGTTTGGCACAGTGGTGGGCTGTTGTGTGTGCGGGTTTTTGCAGCAACTCCCTAACTAGATTACTAATTCGAGGACCGACTGGCTGAGGAGTCCTCACACCTGGGTTTGAAGAGCTGACCCAAAGGTTCTCCCAAAAACCTGCATACACACCCCGGCCCCCTCAGTCTTAGCACATGTCATTTGTCTCTCAAGTATTGCTTTGCATTACATAGCTCTTGTACCGCAAGACAACTCGATTACATACTTCAAGTAGTCTGTCAGTACCTAATCAATAGTGATATGTGTCCCTAGGTTAGTTAATTTACTAAAAGGTCCTACAATACTGAGGCAGTATGCATACACCGTATACAGTAGCATTTGAAGCAGTTCGAGGTGGCAGCGCTTTACGGAGACCAATGTCCTCCTGGCAGAGTATCTCCTCTGTGAGCAGCATGTACTTCTATCCCTGAGGAAAGGAGATGGTGGCGTACTCCACCGTCTCCTGGAGCTTCACCGGCTTTCCGTTCCGCTTGGCCTTCTTATCCACATTCAGGCTGCCGGGAAAATCCAGAGCCACATACTCCATCGGACACACCGACATGGCCGCCTCGCTCGGCACCTACGAAACACCAAGGTTTCTCAGTAACAGACCATACGCTGCACACATACATTAGACATGCATTTTTAAAAATGTATTTCTATTTAATCTAATAAAAAAAATGTATTATGATAAGTAATATATTCCCATAGGTCTGGGTATCACACTAACAAAAGACTCACACCTTGATAGAATTTGTTTAAAATAGTGCATTATAACTGCTAATTATGCTGGAAAACAAGTGTTGTAGCTACACAATATGATATTCAAATTGATGATGGTATGAATGTTCATAATCACGATATGGTATTTTATTGATATATTGCTCTGCCCTACATTACTGTTCATTGAATCCCTTTTAATTCCATTTTTTTCATATTAGGTTCTTATTTTATCATGTCGTTAGCTGGTGATAGCTACCGATTTAGGCCTACTCCTAGACACAAGACATTAACAATCTTTGACTTAGAATGAAAAGTTCATTTCATGACGGGAAGCTTTGAAAAGTTTTAATACTATGAATGGCCACCTCACCTGAAACTGATTGCTGGAACGAGGTCTTTGGTGATGGCCTGTAGGTATAAGAATACTTGTTCATATGTTTTTTCCCTTCACAGGTTTTCTTCTTCGGTCAATGACATGAAAGAACATTTAGTCATGACACAAGAGTTTTTTCGACACTTCCCAACAATACAACTGGCAACAATACAAATGACTATGAAGAGCCAGTTAAAAGTGATACTCTGCATTTGTTATTTTTTGCATAACGATATACAATACTGTGCAGAAGTCTTAGGCAGTCAAAGAAGTTGTTTACACATCTTCATGTTGGTATAGGACTATAATATTATGCTTGTCAATGTGTGGCAGCTCAACCATTTCAAAACCTCTACTAAACATTGATCTAGGATTTGTAGCAATACACCCATGTATTTTTTTTTTACTTTTGAGTAAGAAAGATCTGCTTTGATCTGTTTCGCATTAGTATGCCCAGAGGAAGAATGTCGGTGTAGATCAAAACCACCTAGTCTACTTCCTCTGCCTTCAGAAAAGGCTTTAGTTTAGTTTAGTTTTCCAGTAATTGGTGACTGTCAGCTGTTTAAATATTATTAATTTCATTGTTTTGTCAACTGGAATAATGGTACAGAATGCTTGTCTTAGGAAAGGCAAACTTAACTGTTGTAGGATGCAAAAGTTCCCCGGAAGCACGATTCATGAGATTTTCACAAACAAATCATAATATATATTTTCCACAGATAACTGTAGTTTCAACCACCCACAAACTGCATAATTAAGAAAGGTAACCTATCAAATCAACTGTTTTCATTATGCATACAATCCAGTTCCCCTATACCTCTGCTTGAAGTCCATTCAATCCATTCGTAAAAAAAATAAAAAATAAATAATAATAATAATATATTATAGTAGCCCATTGGCATTCTCATCCAAGCATGGCTGGACTGGCTATCTGGCTTATGGTAATTTACTGGTGGGCTGGCAAAGTTTACTGAGGGGGACCCCATCCACACAACCATTCAGCAAAATATTATCCCCATAAATGGTTTGACTATGCCCTGACTATGACTAGACCAATCCTGTGCATGAACTAAGGAGGAAGCTGTCTAGGTTAACACTTTGAAGTGGTGCGTGTGGATTACTGAAGCCCTGAAAAAAATGGTTGGTCTTTGAGGCCTTTTTAATAATAGTGTAGCTCAGTGTTTCCCAACCGGGTCTTCAGAGACCCACAGACAGTCTAAGTGGTTCAGTATGGGCACCACACTGAGCTAGTGTGACGTCTCTTACCTGAGCTCCTCTTGGGGGTCTGACAGAAAAAACTCAGCAGCACTGATGGCATCATCACGGAGATGAAGCATAGAGCAATGATGATATACACATACAAGAAGTTTTCTGAAGAGGCCTCCTGGAAGTCATTTCCGTTACTTCTGTATGGTGGAGAAGAATCTGAAGATCACAGGTGAACAAATTGTTAGGGAATTTTAACGTCAATTTCAAACCATTTTCCTGTACTGGCTCAAGCTGCCGCATATTTAACTATTCATAATCATCTTTAAAATAATACTGATTTTATATCATTTAGTATTGTACAGAAATGTATAAAGTATTAACAGTACATTTAACCGCATCAATCTAAACGATAATTTGGAACAAGTACAATTTTTGATATTAGTATTATAATATTAACATTTAACACACTTAGCAGATTATTTATGTATCTTCCTATCTTGAGAATTGAACTCAGACAGAACTCAGATAAACCCTTTGCCTCAGTGTGCACTTCAGATACTTGTAAAGTTAGTAAAATGTGAGCGTTATATAGTCTGTTAATGGGGAAATTTGACATACCTGTCGTAAGCTCTTGGAAATGGACAACGAGAGACACTAATTTGCTCTCGTGAAAATTTGGTGAGTTGTCGAAGAAAGTGACATAGTAATTCCCGGAATCTGCCATAGTCAGATTCGAGATGCTCACAATCACTCCTTGGGAATTTTTTGTGAATGAACCACGTGTGCAAATGCAGTTAGTGTCTGCATGAGAACACTCTCCGATCTTCGTGCCGTCTTTGTACAGGCTAACTGTCTTCACTGTGTTCTTGGACATGATCTGGCCGGTAAAATTAAGCCTGACATCCTGACCGACTGTCCCTGTAATTTCCTCTGCTTGGACGACTTCTGTTCAGAGAGACGGTTAAGACAGGATATTAAAACAGAGGCAAGGTGCCCCATTATGATTTAGTACAGATTCACCATAACTAATAAATGGAAAAAGTATGTTTATTACACAGCGTATGGTTTGGCATTTGTGCTTTTTTTCCTCTTTCTTTAACAAAAAGTGTTCCGCTTTCTTCAGGCAGCTATTTTGCCAGAAAATTATTGAAAGAAAAGTGCACTATTAATGGAAAGTTCATTATTAATGAAGATCATAGCTATTGTGTATTGCTATTTAAAACTTTGCCCTGCAAGCATGCTGTTTTTAATGGTCCAGTCTTGGATGGAACATATCTGTAGCAGGAACCAAAATATTAAATACTACTTCATAAAGAACATAAAATCCAGTAGCCAGAATAATGTTTTGTACTTTGGAATGCATATGTATACATAAGTAATTATAACAAATAAATAATAATAAAATAAATAGAAATGACAGCAGGGGTAGTAATGGAATATATTTCTAAAGGTTGAAACAAGAATTTCAGGGATAAAAAATGTGGAATTTGACATGGCTTCATCCAAACTTCGTTGAAGTTTATATAATGTCCTCTTGTCAAACTGTCAATGCATTATCACAAAAAATGCCGTCTAGTGTGTTACTAGCAGCTGTAATTTAGAAGTCAATGTCTAATAGTATATAATGGTACAAAATTACAAAAGTTACTAAATTTCCCCCCCATATGAAATGAACTGTATTATTACTAATTTTACAGTTTATATAATTAACAATAATAATTTAAACGACTTTCACAGAAATATATTTATGAATTGTTAAAAAGACAACTATGAATCTATATTTCTCATTTATAAGAGCTTTAAATAGAATTACATATCTGAATCAATCTGTTAAATGTGAATGGATTATTTGTTTGAAGCCCTCTTTAGCTAGAAAAAAAATCATATCAATTAGGTTAAAATTACAGATTATCAGCAGTTGACTGTTTTGGTTAGCAATTAATATATTACTACTGATGTACTGTGGAAGCAAATTTTCTACAATATCAGTGAGCTTTTTGATGCACAAGATAAGAAACATAGTATATCTGTCCAGAAAACTAAAACTCCAGTAAGATCTGTCAGGTCTGGAAAATTGGGCCGTCGAAGGTGATCTGGCTTTGTTTTCTGTATTTTTGTATTTTCCACAGATAAACAAGCTCCCTACCTGAGATATACCAGACTTATGGCACGGAACCACGTTTCTAAGACTGCAATATCTCATCTGCTCCGTTTTTCAACCGCTACTGATTAAAAGTTTTTTGTCATTTGAGTTTACGTTTCATTTAGAAATTCACGTGTTGCATATTTCTCCCAAGAACGAAAGACGCAAGATTGGGATTCACAGTTTTCTTTTCCTGTCCTGTTCACTGTTTAATTTACCTCGGAGGGTGCTGTTACGACATGGAATTGATAATCACTGTGGTCACATACAGTAATTTCATTTCAGAGAGGCCTTTCAGTCAAATGAAAATCCAGCTTTACATATGTCCAGCAGCATAACTGTAGGTAATATTAGTATGAGTCAGAGAAAATTCTGAAAAAAAACAAAAAAAAAAACGTGCATAGACCACATTTTCCACAAGGGAAAATTCAGACGGAGAGAGAGAGAGAAAGATGGAGAAAGGAGTGGGTATGTTTTTTATGGTTCTTTATTTAGTTTCATTCTACCTGGGGCACCCCCTTGTTTCAATCATATTTTGCAACGCCTACTACTTCAAATAAAAGTTCACATGGATTTTTAGTATTACTGTTTTAACCTGTTGTTTTCTCTTTTTGTTTAACTTAATAGGAGGGTTAAGATTACGATCATTTAATAAAGTGGCATTACTATGTCAACCGCATTACTTCAACACAAGTGCATGACTCTGTCAAACATTATATCACAATTGCTATGTATGAATAATAGAGCAACTATAAAACTATAAAATCTTACTGTGGATTATCTGTTTGGACAAAATATAATACTCAATTTTTGCATTTTTATAAAATCAAACATTTTAAATGGGGAAGGCCTTGTCCTGATTATTTAAGTGTTATTGTTATTTGTGGCATTTATTTATTTGTTTGATCCCCTTTTGTGAATTTGATTTTGGCATTATTCTCTCTCATTTCCATCAATTATCATTTTTAAATAGCATAATGTCTGCACAGAAGAAAGCCATTAATATTACACTTGCTGTAATAAAAATGTAACAATATCATCTAACACCAAAACAAGATAAAAGTCCAACATCTCTGTAGTATCGATAAAAGTGACATGTACTTACCATGACTGAGTAACAGCAACGACAGATAGACGGAGAAGAGTCGCTTTATGGAGTAACACATGACCCTTGAGAAGCTAATATATAAAAATCGATGTGTTATAGTCTCTGCATCTGTGTCTCTGTCAGCTTGCTTTGCTTTGCTAACCCATTCTCTTTTTCTAAGCCTGTGGAATCGTGGGGGTAGTTCTCATATTTGTGACGACACAGAAGGCTGCAGCAGGTAATTTTTTTTAATCGGCATCATCATTAGTAATCTGTGGAACTACAGGAATACATGAGAGTATGTAGACGGTTGTTTTGAAGGAACAAAGGTTCCAGTTTGCATTTCCTCTAATTATATGCGAGATAACATTTTAACCATTGCCATATCTACATCTGAAGATTATATGAAAGTGAGACGCATTCATGAAAATGCACTACACTGTGCATCCGTTTAAAGGTGTCTTTTTTACACTGTTCTCAATAGATTAAAAGTTCCAGGTGGGTTTATACTTCACTGTCAACCAAAGAGAGCTGTTCTGTGTTATTAAAAATGCCTGTAGTATTAGATAATTTGCTGCATCAGTATGCCTGTGCTAACTCAATAGATACTCTGTCTGTGCTTTCATTTTTAGCTGAGGTGGGCAACACAGCATACATGGTCATGACGCATCTCTTCTTGAGGGTCCTACAAGCAGAAAGTGAAAGTGAAACCTTCTCTCAATATCCTTAATGGGGCTTTGTTGGCGTTGTTGTGTATTGACTATATTATTCATGTCTGGGAGCTTGGTAGATACATCTGAAGTTTTGCAACCAACTTAAAGTCAGAAAATATATTATTCAAAACAGTAAACTTATTCATTCTAGATGGGAATTAAGAAGTCCCCATAACATGAATGGAAAAAAATTACGAACAAATCCAGATATAGTTAAGAATTGTTAAGGAGGTGTGCAGTTCAGTTGGATAACCCTCTGGGCCAGTGGTACTAAGGTCCCTGGTTCGAGCCTGACTGCAGCTGAATAGTTACATGTCCTTGAGCAAGGCCTGTAACCCCCAGCTCCCTGGGTGCTGCAAAGTGGCTGCCCCATCGCTATGACCCCCAAGATGGGGCACAAAGAATTTCCACACAGGGGTTAATAAAGTGTCACCAAAAAAAGACTGCAGCAGAAATACTGGGGAATTGTAGCATGTTAGCATGAAAGAGGCATGCAGATTGATGCCTGAATTCGTCAGTTATGTCAGCTTTTATTGAGTGGAGGTCATTGGTTCAAATCCCATGGCTGACAGAGTGATTTAATACATTGGGCCCTTGAGCAAGGCCCTAAGTACTCCAGGGACTGACTGACCATGCTCGCTCCTTCTGATTCACTTGACAAAGGTTTTTGCCAAATAAATGTTAATTAAAAGAAACGATACTGAAGAATGGAGTTCTTATCATTGACATTTGCAAGAAAACACAGATGAACTGATGTCCTCATCACCTGACCTCCATCTTACATTAATAAAACAGTTGAAATTATTAAGGCTATTTAGTTTTAATAATAATAATAATAATAATAATAATAATAATAATAATAATAATAAATTGTATTTTAAAAGCGCCTTTCTAGCACCCAAGGACATCGTACAATAAAGCATAAAGCCATAAAATACAGAGAATATAGAATAAAACAAGGGCTTAATGACAACCAGAAACCATAGATTTTATCATGCAAAGCTATTGGTAACATTAAAAACAAAGTACACAGAGCACAGTCATTTGCAAACTGTATCCTGCTCTGCAGTCGCCCTTTAATCATTTTCCATAAAAATTGTGAATCATACATTGACACTGTGGGTTTCTAACTTTTGATTCTTAATAAACATTAAAATATTTTCCTTTCTCGTTTTCGTTAAAGCAGCGTGTTGTGTCATACGTATACTCTGATAGACTTTCCAAGCATATACCAGTGACATTTGAGTGATAAATGTTTTTTCGTTTGGCCACGATTAAACTTCTTTTAAAAGAATTAAAGTACTGTATAAAGACATCAGTGCAGTGATCTGCTTTTCTATTGTGTATACTGTATAATGTTTATTTCTTAGCTCAAACTCTGAAATGAAAGGGCTGTGCATTACCCTGACTGATATTTAATTTCAGTGAATGTTTCAAGAATTAACAAGTCATATGGTAACTACTGACGAACCTGTTATGCATGAACTCTTCAGATGACTTTCACATCTCCCTTAAATCCATGTCACTCTTTTTCAGAATGATGATACTAAGAAAACTGCTATTTACTTTTGAATAGGTGCCATTTTCCATTGCTTCAAAAATGATTTTTGTTCACTTTGTCGGAAACATTACCTAGTTAATCATCATAGTCGGACATATAATAATATAATATAAAAACATACACACAGAGACACACACACAAACACACATAACTATATTATACATAATCAAAATAATCATAAATATTATGGTACACACCATGTTAACTTTGCCAGGTTGTTCCCCAGAAACGCTGGACTGAATTGCAGATGCCTGGTCTGCATGATCCTGCAGAAAGACAGCAGGACATATCGCATTCACCATTTACTGAGGTCATACTTTTGCTAAAAATACTAATTCTATGTAGTAATAATATACAGTGACTATTTCAAAGCCCTAAATGAATATTAAAGCACCCTGGCCAAGTACTAGAACCTGCTAACAAACTTACGAACAGGAGAACCACGGGAGAACTTACAATAAGGGAAAAAACTAGAACCTGCTAACCAACCTAAGAACAAGGGAACCACGGGAGAACTTACATGTACAATAACTGTGGTCCCTGTAAACCATCTTGTAAACCAGACCTACACACACACACACACACGCTGAAATTAATAGCCCAAAAGCATCTCTGAGACATTTCTCAACACTGTCCTTACAAACTACTGTCCTTATATACCAGGTCAGGCCCACACACACACACACACACATACACAACCACATTATACATGATCATGAGTCTGAAACATTATCGTACAAACCCTGTTAACTTTGTCAGGTTGTTCCTCAGAAATACTGGACTGAATTGTAGGTACCTGGTCTACATGATCCCATAGAAGGACAGCAGAACATATCACATTCACCATTTATTGAATAATATGCAATTTGTTTTAACTATATTCTCCAACATTTACACACAATTCTACTGAATAGCTAGAAGTTTAAAAAGACAAACTAGTGACTATCAAACAATTTCAACATTTACAGTTACAATACGATGATTTTTTGTGTAAAAAAACACCCTCACTGCCCTGTGAATATCTGAGTGGAATAAGACAGGAGGAGGCACAAAAACAAGTTCATACAGCACAAGTCATCTAATAAAACATCTAAAAACTATATTTCCAAAAGTGGTCCTCTGTAACAACCTACTATGTAACAAACAGTGTAACCCTTGTGCAGTGAAAATAACAAAAGGAATTACCTAGTATATTGTTCTTGATGGCCAAACATAATGTTATAATGGTGGTACATGAAGTGCAAAATACTTTCTGAGGTGTTACGTAGTGTAAAAGTTTGTGAACCATTGCTTTAGATCAACCCCCCGTCATGTCGCGGCAAGAAGGTGAGCAGGGAAGCAGGGAAAAGGAGCCAGGAAGTCAAAATAACGGGGTTTTAATCAGGGAAACAGGACCGGGGGAAGCACACAGACGAACGTCAATGACAAATCTGGCGTACACTGACTGAGACACCGACTAAATGCACAAGACTAGGCAAACGGAACAGGCAACAGGTGAGAACAATCAGGGATGAACACGAGGTAACGAGGTGGGCGTGGCACACATTAGGATCGGACGGAGCTGGACGTGACACCACCCCCCTGCTGCAGCTGGTTTAAAGACAATTTCTTTATCTTCCAATGCTTAAACCTTTCTGCTGTAATTGATTTTTAAAATGGGTACTTGTTTGTTTTGGAACTCATGTCTAATTTATTGCAACTGAAGCAGCTGAAAAGAAAAATCCAGGTAAAAAAATGATCACTTTCAGAGACTGTAAAAGGTATAGCAAGTTTGCCATAAACCATTAAACGTTAAGCATTAGGTAGTCATTGCGGTTGTTTTGTGGTCTTTGAGGACTGCATGTTAGCTTTATGTTAAAGTAGTGGCCTCATTATTCAGGATTCCATCCAAGAAAATGTTGCAGTCCTCTCCCTCTGTGATGGGTACGCCATTGGTGGATGGGAGTTCGCATATGGTGCTGCGCAGGGTCACTCTGGTCACGCTTAAGGAGTGCTTTCTGGCCACCGGGTGCCGAGTGCGACGGCACATCACCTCCCTGAACACATCCCGGAAGCGGGTGGACATGAGGTTGTACAGGATGGGGTTGGCGGCAGAACTGAGGTAGAAGAAGACGCCGGAGATGATGTGGACGTACTGGAACATCACCAGGTGTTCGCTGGTCCAGTGGCTGATAAAACTCCACATCAGACGGTCGGTGTGGAAGGGCGCCCAGCAGATCCCAAACACTATGACTAACACAACTGCAACAAACACGCACAATGAAAGCAGCTCGTTTAAAACCGTCATATTTCGCTCTTAGTCTGTACACAGGACTTATTAGAAATCAGAAAGAGGAACAACTGCAAGGGCCTGTTAATTAAATGCAGTTGACCCTGAGGACTGTTGTCCACATTTCAGTTTAAACAGTCATCTGGTTAGATTTGTAGGCATTACAGAATTTGAAGTGTGTGTACAGTAAGGTAATGAAATCCCACGACGACACAGGGAGAACATGCAAACTCCGCACACATGGAGCCGTGGAGGAGACTCAGTCACTGGTCCCAGATGTGTGAGGCAACAGTGCAAACCACTGCACCAATAAGATGAAAGTAATGGGGTATGTTACTATATAGTGTTGGCAAGCTGCAACGAGAAAGGACAGTTAGACACTCACAAAGCATTTTAGTGACCTGCCGGTGGCGCACTTTCTGCTGCTGGCTGTGAGAGTTGCAGCAGCCATCTTGGTCGTGGGCGGACTGGCCTTTCAGCACCTGCTGAATCTTCTCCCGCTTCAGCTGCAGCCCAATGAGCAGGTACAGCCAGCTGATGGTGAACATCGGCAGCAGAAAGAAGAGCAGCGTGGTGATCTGGATGATGACGTTATACATCCAGCGTGGCTTTACCAGCATGCAGATAGCCGACTCTGGGATTTCCTGACCCGTGGCAGATGGCAGAGAGACTATGCCATGCAGGCTGGTGTTGGGTATAGCGCACAGCACTGAGATGATCCACATGGCCAGGATAACCCTCTTGGCATGGGTTCTGGTCACCACAAACTTGGCCTTGAGAGGGTAGATCACGGCTATGTAGCGTTCTACACTGAGGGACGTCACGATAAGAATAGAGGCGAAGCACACCGTTTCGAAGAGGAACGTCTTGAAGTAGCAGCCACCCTCACCAAACACAAAGGGGTAGTTACTCCACATCTCATACAACTCAAGAGGCATTCCCAGCATCAGCACCAGTAGGTCCGACACCGCAAGGCTGAACAGGTAGTAATTAGTGGGTGTCCGCATGACCTTGTTGCGGGCTATCACTGTGCAAGTTAAGACATTGCCCACTGCCCCCACGAGAAATATAAGCAGGTAAACAACGCACATGGGCATAAAGACAGAGGAGCGACGTGGGCCGAGATACTTTTCCAGGTATTCTTCCTGAGTGAGGCAAAAGTCCTCATTCACTGCAGTGAAGTTTGCCAACGGGTGGGAACTGCTGTTACATCTCATGCTGTAGGTACATTTTGATGCCCCACTCTGTAAGGTTTGCATTTCTGGTAATGAGCAGTTTTTGCTCTCCATTACAGTGGAATTGAGTTGAATGCTTTGGGAGAAAGAGAGAGAGAGAATGAACAGGTTTAGATCTGAAAGCTTTTTTATTTGTTTCTACTAAACCAGTGTTTCTCAACCCAGTCCTTGGCGACCCCCAGACAGTCCACATTTTTGCTCCCTGCCAGACATTCACATTTTTGCTCCCTGCCAGCTCTCTGTCAGACGGTCCACATTTTTGCTTTCGCCCAACTCCCGGTACTGAGGACCGGGCTGTACTAAACTATTTTTATCATTAGTTTTTGATGGTAAATATTGTTTTAGAAATAATAAAATACAACATATAATCTGAGCCATTAATTCAAAAGCAAAATGAAGGTGAGAGAGGTAAGCATGGCACTATCACCGCAACGACTATAAGCATCTGTAAGGATCATTCCAGTTTATAGAGTATTCTTGTGATGCAGTGTCTCTTATTTGCAATTCACTAAATCTGTTGCATTTCCTAAATACAGCAGTGACAGTTTAGGTAGGAATCATGTACAGTGTTTAATAGTCATAGTCATCTGAGTCTGAGGCTGTGAGCAAAAAAACAGTCACCATAGTAACTTTAGACTATTGAAAGGACACAAACCAGGTCACCTCTCACATATTTAGTTATGGCAGGTTGGAATTAGAATCAGAAAAGTAATTTCAATAAGGAGTCTTGACTCTCTCAAAGGTTTTTCTCAAAGGTGCGTTTTTACACAAGTGCTTGATGCTTTAGTTGCAGCAATACACACACAAATGCAAATCCTGCATTTTATTGAAGTGGATCAGCCTTTTTTGGCATTTGAATGAGCTATTGCGTGAGGTGTGGCAAAATTAATGTTCGCATCAGTGCATGTTCAGACTGACAGAATAAGATACACATTATATATTGTGTTTACATTTGTAAATAAACATACATTTAAATAATAAATGCATGAGTTTTTGATTTACAGAAATATTTAGAGAAATTACTTACAGTACAGTATTTACAGAAATCGCACCTCCATCCATGCTCCCAGAAACACAGGAACTCAAATGCTCATTGAAAATGATTCTGTATTCTGTGTTCCTGTTATTTACTTCCATAAGGATACAACAAAATAAATATACAATTAATACTGCTAATCTCACAGTTTTGAAATACTGTATTTTTCTATGCTTAGCAGAGTTTTGCATGCTAAATGCATCAATCTTCATTTTGCCATTTATTATAACTGTATTTCTATAAAAATAGGCTATGGACAAATTAAAATAGGCCACAAAAAATCCCTCACAATCGTTATGCTGCAACTATTATTTTGTTTGTTTAATAGAAAAGGTTTTAACACACGTCAGGGAAACCACAGTGATAAGAATAGTAATAATAAGAAAAATTTAAATAATTATAAATATCAGATTTTAACAAATGCACAATGTACAATATATGTCATTCTTAAAATGTAACCAATATTAAGGTTCTTTCTTTTTTATTTCTCCTTTTTATATTTCTTAAAATAAATTTTAATTCTGAAACTTACCCTCAGGCTGTTCCTTTGTGGTCTTTTTGTTTATTTATTTTAATATTTTTATTATTATTATTATTTTACCAATGGCAAAGAGAATCAAAAACACAAAATACAAATTGCTTAAAATAAATCTTCCTTTCCAATTATACAATCCAAACGGTTCTTATGTTTCTGCTCCTCATTTGACTTTTCAAAATGACTTCTGACCACTTTTCTTGCGTGAGGTGTTTAAACGACCTGTTGATTAAGGGCTGTCCTCGTTCACTCCCTAACATCACCACTGCACTTTTCTTTAAGCCAAGAAGCTCTTCCCTCGTTTCGTCCTATCCGATCGCTCAGCCTACCTTTCTAATTCACCAACCTCTTTATCTCCATGTTTGAAAATGTTTGATTGTCAGATTTTACTGTTTAGACAATGGCTGTTGAATGTGCAATATATTGTTATTTCTCATGAAAGAAATCTTACTTTTACTGACATTTTCTAGAAATTTCCCGTCATTTATACAGTATTACTTGAAAATATGTGGACTCTTCAACTTTCATGTTTTCTTGTGTCAAATAAACATTTTTTTTTATAATATTAATCTTATTAAACATGAATCTAATTTTAAAAAGATACCTGAAACATTTATTGGTTAATTTCTTGCTAAATTCACACATACATATTAAACACCAATCTAACCAAAATGCACAACAAAACAATCCAAAGAACCTGAAATTAAACCCTTAGGAAGATGAGAATATGCAAGATCCATACATTCAAAATCTGAGTCAGTAATAAAAATCACAGCCATAGGTGCAGCATCCACTCTGGAGTTCTCTGAAAGTGTCTTTCCTACTTTTGAAAGGTCTATGAAATTGTAGAATATCATGGAAAAAGATTTATAGAATTTTTCAATCCAGTAATATCATTACTTTATATAATCCATTTTTTGCAATTCCCTGGTCTTTGAATCCAAATAATTAATTCTGACATTTTTATTCAAAAGCATAATAAGCAATAAATCGCCTAATTAGTTTACTACATTTTTGGACTTGGCTCCATAATTAAATTCTCCACTGAAAGTACAAGAGTTGCAGTGTGAAAATGAACTGTGTTTTGTTTTATAGTGTATCTTTCTTAAGATTGGTTTTCAGTAATAATAAGCAGGTAAGGTAATGGCGGCAATGAATAAACAAAAAAGTGATGATTTCCAAACATATAGAAGAAATATATTAACAAAATGGTTAGAAATAAATGATTTGATTTGTAGGTTATGGTCATACATAACTTTGAGGAGTTAACATGCAGTGCCATATGTCCCAATGGTGTCAATTGCTAGTTCAGATTCAGAAGTGTGGACCGTGTCACATCACATGTTAACCCCTTGTGCATTTTATAAATATTGATAATGTGACAGGTGGTTGTTAACTTTGCTACTTGTATGTGTAAGTTCACTGACCTCAAATAGCACAGGATATTTCACCAATGTAGAATATCAGAACAGTATAACAGGAATATATAAATCGCACACACACACATACACACACACAGATATATCATACAAAGTGTGCATAGAAAGTCTTGGGAAGCTTGCTTGATTCAGGAAAATATTGCAAATTTGTTAGTTTTGTAATAAAAATCATTAGTTGATTTGTTTACAAAAAGTTTAAGTAAAACATTAATTGTACTAATAACTGATACCCAAATTATAGTCCCTACAGAGCCATTCTGAGTTAAAACGTTTGTTAGTAACATCTTTGAAATTACATAAAACACAAAACTATTGTGTTTGGTATCCCTTTGGGACCCAGTGACTACGATTGCAATTAATAGCAAAATAGCAACAACAGAACCGAATGAGTCAGTGAAAATGTCTGCATGGAAGATACGTTATATACAATATATATATATATACAGTATATATATATATATATATATATATATATATATATAACACAGAGGTTCTGTAGGTATCCCTGACTAATTCAGGCACCTGTAACCCATAATGTAGCACATGGGTCTCTGTACCACAAATGTTGCCACCTGATCCCAGTTGTTGTTCTTCTTAAGACCTGATGCCTTTTTGGTTCTCTCTGTTTCCTTTATGCTAAAGCAAAAATGGCTCATCACTCACTGGAATGAAGTTCTCCACCCTGTCCTCCCGCCCTCATATCACGGAGCTCACAGAGGTGGATGAATGTCAGCTCGTTGACATGTTTTATATATTTTAATTGTTATTTTTCTTTTATCTTTTTTGTCATTGCCACATTTGTGAAATCTTTGCAGCTCATAGAAATCAAATGGAGATGAAACCATATTTATTGGATAGACTACAGTGGATAGCTGGCAAAACACAGTCTGTAGTCCAAATGAAGAAACATTGTTATAATTGCAGAGTGCTACAATTTTGAAGTACAAATTTTATAAATGATGAATTGCACTTCCATTTCGTGGCCAACGTTTTTATGTACAGTGACAGCTCACATATAAGACAGTTGGACTATTGACCAAGCCATTGTAACCAAAACATAATAAAAGCAATAAGACTAAAGAAAATAAAGAGGACATAGAGGATGAAAAGAAAACGATCTATAATGTGTCCAACCCGGTCCCACTCATCAGCAGCATTCCTGCATGCGAGGTGCTTCTCCACCTCAATGCGAATGGCTAGAAGGTCCTGACCCAACTTCTTCAGCACCTCTACGACTGGATCGTCAAGCTGGAGTCTGGATTTATTGGAGGTTGGGTCCGAAACACTCATGGACACTGGATTCTTCACCGCTGACACATGCGGGAACGAGGGAAACAATACCTATAACTTTACAGTTCTAAACATTTAACCATCTACGCAAACATTCATAAATTATTCATATTAATTCTTGTGGAGGTTATAATCACTGGCACGTCCATGACTTGATTGGTGCCTACTTCACATTTCCATACCTTGAGTGATAGGTGAGTAAGTTTCTGTCTCCTGATCACCCGGTTTCTGGGGAAAGCGAACAAGCCAGGCCAGGTATTTAAAAACGAGGATCTGGACCCAGTGAGGTACTGCGGAGTGATTGGATTTGCACAGGATTTTGGTAATGATGATAGTCTCCAGAAGGCTTGCTACCATCAAAGCCAGGCAGACAGAGAAGACGACATCTAACGACAGAAGAAGAGAAAAGGTCTAGTAGCTAAATATGTGTTATTGATGTCAAAAAACAATGTCATTGAAATAAACGTAAAAATTTACTAAGGAGTGGAAGCGTATTTCCGGTACTAGGTAGCAAATTATTCATGATGAGCAGGAATACAGTGTAGCCCAAGATGATGGTCATCTTGAAGGTGGCACGGTCTACAGCCTCTGGTGGCAGAAGAAAACTTATGAGGTCCACGATCAGGAGGAAGCAGCTGGGGATCAGGAGGTTCACCACATACGTGGTGGGCCTGCGTCTCATGACGATCTGGATGGAGAGATAAACAAGTGATACAGTAATGCACATTAATGTTATATGTTGCGAAATGTGTGATTAATGATGACTCATAATTGCAATTCAAATAACTGATGAGTTATTCTTTTGGTTATTTATTTGCTATAAAGGAATAAGCATTATTTGGCATCCATCCATTCATCCATCCATCCATCCATCCATCAGCATGACTTCAGCCTGAGATATGCTCCATCTGGATAAACAATTATAGTGTACTTATTTCAGAAGCACTTTCACTTTGATTTACATTTCGTATTCTTCAATTTCCAAGTACAGCTCCTAAATAATTATTGTAAACAAGTACCAATAATTGACAAGTAAATAAATACAAGGGAAAAAAAATCCTGTACGATATGTCGTTAAATACTGTATGAGATGTTTATGCTTGCAGTTGCTACAAAGACTGGAAGCATGGCTGGATGGATGCTGCCCCCGCATGAAAGTATCGTATCGTATGGCTTAACGCTAACTGAATGTGCACCATGAACTGAAGCATCGTAAAGCGAGGAGCATCTGTACTGAATTCCAGTGCTGTAATACTCACATTGTAGACAACTGTGTCATAGATAGAATAATTATAATAATCGCATTGTGTTTTAGAAACAGTGATGTCCACTAGTTCCCATTCTTCAATCGTGTTCATCACCATATTGGACCACATCAGTGACTCTTCACCTGATTCGCCCATATTTATTGTAATGTCAGAAGCTGTTGGGTCAGAAGAGAATCTTGTCATACCAAAGTATATTCTGTTTCCTAAATTGGTACACTGTTGCATATATGTGCAGTGGTTCTCTCACAGGTGTGGATATAGGAATTGAAAGTCAAGGAACAGTTCTGTACGTCAAACGGGAAGGTGTAGATGTCCAGGTTGCAGGAGCTGACAGATCTCACTGGCCGACTGTCCGTCACATAACCAGAGGAATCCAAATGCACGTAAGGTATCCGGGGAGACGTGTCCCTGTCCATACTGAAAGAGAGAGAAAATCACAAAAAGAAAACAAAGCCGCCATCTTGACAGCAGATGTAGCGAGCCTCTTTCCCACAATTGTGTATTGGTTAGGAGGTTCATGGATGTAAGAATGGTGAAGCAATGCTAATTTGTAAATGGATCTTAGGAGCACATAAATAAACATACATTTACAGCCTCATTTTAAGTCATGCATTTCAACCCCTTATCCTTGTTTGGATCTGAGTATTCTAGTCACCATTGTGTACCAAATATGCACATTGCAAGACGGATACTATGCTGGATAAACAGATAGACAAATAGTTATATTACACTGGCAGCTGTAGGCATACAGGCACTCACCACTCATTAATAACAATATCGGGCATCCAAAGCTTTTCCCTGGGAAGAGTGACCACTGCGGTTCCACACTGTACAGGGTCCCAGCTCAGATACTCAATCTTCCAACTCTTAACAAAATTAATACATTTATCATCAATTAGTTAACTGAAAATAATTTTTGAGATCTTTTATAGATTGCAAGTGATTTTAAAATCTACTAATATGCTGGTTCATATACTGAATATTTCCTGCTTGAGTTATTGATACTAATTGTTTTAATTATTGATACTAATCCTGTTTATACATTTTTTAAATCACTTCACTGCATACAATTCACAGCATATCTATAGCATTTTGTGTTCATTTTCAAATTTTATTGTAAATAAATATTAATTTTTATGGAGTACACTAATTCTCACCAGGGTGAGCCAAATATACGTTGTTAATATCTGGGTCATTTCATCCTAAAGGACAAAAAAGAAAAAGAAAACAAAAGAAGACTCTTCTTAAATATGCTTACAAATAGGAGTAAACAAACTATTTTATATGTATATAGAACAATGATGATCAGCAAATAATAATAAAACAAATAAGAGCTTGTAAATGTCACTCACCACCCCGAGGATGCTATACAGTGTAAAATAGATGGTGACATTGGTGGGCGTCTTCAGGCTGTACACGGGACGGATGGGGTTTAAATAAAAGGTCTTTTCTATTTCCCTATAGAGGGACTCGGCATCTGGGTGGGAGCAGTTCAGCGTTACAGCACATGTCACGGCTGGAGCTAAAGAGACAGACCAGCTGTTTTCATTCATGACACGGATGAAACACATCGCTCCTTTGGTCATTCACTAGTTATACCTCATGCTTTATCACAACACAGCCTCAACATTTGCTTTCTTGCAAAATTGACAGATATAATACACTACACGAATTCCATCAAGGAATGAGGCTATTTGTTTACATAATTTATCATTATACTTGTCACATACTGCATAATTATTAGTAAAACAATTTGGTCATCATAATCAGAAAAACTCAAAACCACTTGTCATATTTTACTGTTTTCTACATACGAATTTTAGTATATCGTGATGAATATCAATATTGTGAAAATCTATTAAAATATCGTGATACCATTTTTAAGGCATATTGCACAGCCCTACGCTTTACCCATACATCCTTCTCTGTTTTATGACAAAAACCATGACAAGAAGTCATTTCAGCAAAAAAGTGTGATGAGTCAGGACTCTCACCTTGAAGAAGGAGACTGGCAATGAGAAGAGCTACAAGCTTTTCTCCGCTATTCAGCCACTTCAGACCCTTCTGCCTTCCAGCACCTGTCTGAACCTGTGACATTTGCTGTTGTCATGGCAAGAAGAACAATCTTCTTAAACATTTATTGCTACTACACCCCTAATCGATCCAACTAGAAATCTAATATGAGACAAAATAGCTTTATATTATACATCTTAGTAATGGGAATATTTTTTCTGAAATATTCTTGGAACAGCAGTTTTCTACACTTTAATGGCAGGATTTGCTTTCATTAGCTTTGAAGGTGCTGAGGTTACTGTGTGAATACATCATCACTGAAGGTGTCCATTCTCTTGATGGAAAGAACACACAACATACCGACAAAGCAGGTCTCACAATAAGAGACGGCATATACAACAGATACCAGATTTAAAATCTACACCACAGGTGAACAATGATGTTTTTAAAGGCCGTTCAGGTCTGTGGTTTTGGTTTAGGACAGCAATGCATAAACAAAAAGAGTTTGAATAGAAACAAACAAGACAGACAATTATATGATTCATTAAAAATGGCATGATTTGCATGAATTATTACCATTTTTAAGAGTTGAAAGAGACACCTTCTGCATTGCGTGTTTTATTGATTGAAGTTTTATCCACATTATAACTTTAACTGACTGCTGGCTCCAGTTGAGCTGAGCTGCTAACCCTCTGATATGAAGCTATACGCATCAAAACAACATAAAAGTTATTCAGTTGCTCTATATTCATACCTATTATAATAGCTAATCCATACCTCATCACTGTTACATCACTCTGTTTTAAGAAAAATGAAACTAGAGTACACCACTCTATAGCAACATATGATTACATTTAAAAAAGATATTAGTTTGTCTATAACTTTTACTTTAACGTCCATTTCTGTCCAACATATACAACAAATTCTACCTCACTGGAATTATATAACATAAAATTTACTGTACCTTTGCTTTGCACTGGCCTTTATCCATTAGAAGCCACCTATGATGATTATCTCAGTTAGTAACTGTAACCAAAAACGTGTGATTACGTCCTAGCATTCATGCAGCTTATCCCAGATGATGGGCAGGTAAATTAAATTAAAGAGCTAGCCTCATTTTTGTAAAGTCAGTCTTTGGTATATATAGGCGACTGTGTTTACTCATGGAGAATGTGAAATCGTTGTAGCATGTCTGCTGTGATTAGTTACTGTAGAACCAGATGTTTTGAATAAGAAGCTTGCCCTAGATAGAGTATCTCAGAAGTCTGCAAACACGCCTATTCAAATTAGTATGTGTGATTGTGTAGATGTACCACAGGTGGACACAGGTGCGTATGGATCTAATGCAAGAAAAATGTCATTGGGGTTTTGGTCACAATAGGCAAGAATTTTCTGGCCTGTTAGTAACTCTATCCTGTATCTGTATGAAACTATGCAGTTGAAAATATCTTGCTGGTAGTCGTCTTAGCAGAAGTCTTGAAATCCAGAAAACATCCAGAAATACTGCAAAAATTACCCTCCAATATATTCGTGATATATTCCCATGACTATTGACTAACTACAGTTACGATAATATAAGTTACTTTGCATTTTAAGCCTGTTGCTGCTTTGAATTGTCATGAGTTCAGATAGACAGGCACCTGAATCAGACATTTGCAAAACAGATTTGTTTTTGCATTTTCGGCAGCAAACCTGGACTGCGGCTTTCCTGATTTGAACAGATTGTTTGATCTGTTGCGACTGAGCTTTAGGAAGACAAATCACAGGACTTGTTGTAGTTTTCAGTATATGTACTAGAACTGGCTCTCAAAATGACGTGAAAATGCATGTATTTTTTTTTATAAATCTTTACATTTTTATTATATGGTTATGTTAATATTTTATTAATAAACTTTAAATAAAATAAAAATTAAATTAGTCCCTTTTGATCACTGCTACACCATTTTTCAAGAATTCCCAATTCTTCAATTTTTACAGAAGCACAGACATGAACAGTCATTCTAATATGAACAGCTTTAGCCCTGATTCTCTTTCTGTATCTGTGTTCACAGGCAGAGCAGGACCGCAGATCTCCGCAGAGGCTTGTGCAATCGGACAGGCACTTCCAAACGATGCAGATCCAGGGCCAGGAAAATCATCAAGGACCCCAGCCACCCCAACAATGGCCTGTTTTCTCTGCTGAGATTGAGGATGCCTGAAGACCAGCATTGCGCCCTCCAAGCGATACGGATCCTAAATGTGGACGCCGTCTAGGGCTGTTCAGTCCCCCCTACATTACAACACTGCTGAAGTACAACCCTGCAGGTTGTGAAGGTTGCTGATCTGGGCCTCGGCCTTGACAAAATAGTACCTGAGCAAGGCCCTTAACCTTCAGCTTGAGAGGTGCTGCATGCTGGCTGACCTGGTGCTGTGACCCTGACCCCCCCCCCCCCAAAGCTTGCTCTTATCTGCATATGTGTCTCGTGTAACACGTGGGATGGGTGAAAAGACTATTTCCCCAGGATATTAACGAAGGATTATTATTCTACCACATGTCCATCTTCTAACATTTTGTCAGGCTTGGACCCTATTCCAGGCAGTATGAGGTTGGTGTACCCCCCGGAAGGGGTGGCGGTCCATTTCAGGGTGCACGCACACACATACACACACACACACACACGCACACGCACATGTAGGGTATATATATCCTTATGGTGACCGCTCATTCATTTCAATGGGAAAAATGCTAACACTAACTATGACAACCTTAACCCCCACCCTGCCCTAACCATAACCATAAGTAACCTAACAAAATACAAGAGTTTTTGCATTTTTTGTTTTTTCATAACAGTCACCAATTTTTATAAAATAGAGTCACCAATTTTAAAAAAACAGATATTTATCATGTTATGGGGACATTATGTCCCCATAAGGATAGGTAAACCCGCTCGCACACACACACACACACACACACACACACACACATATATATATAACGTATCTTCCTTGCGGAAATAGAAACTGTGAGAGCAATCGGGCACAACATGGGAAGAACATGAAAACACTGCATACACTACTGGCCAGCCATCTATCTGGTATTTCCGTTACCAGGAATAGCGTGACTAATATAGTGCTGTAGTCTGCTTGTGCATATTAATCATGCTATATCCAGTGGAAGAGGCTCAGTAAAATTGGGGCAGCATGTGGCTCTGCAAGTTTGGCCTCAAGGCCTCTGACTGGAAGGTTGTCAGTTTAAGTCCCATGTCTGGCAGTGAAATTTCACTGCTGGGCACTTGAGCAAGACCCTTAAGCCTAATCACTCCACCAACACTGTGTGACCCAACTCTAACATTTATGTCATGTGGGATAAAGTTTCCTCTATAAATACATGTAAATGGAATGGAAAAACAGAGAACTCAAAAGATCACTAAGAGTGAACGGAGGCTGTAATTAAAAAGCACTAAGACATCAAACTGATATATTTTCTTAATATTATTTTCGTAAGTGAAAATGGTTTACATTTAGCAGAATTATTGGCATCCTTAGAGAAATGAGTAAAGAAGGCTGCAAAAATGATCTGTTTATGGTCAATTAGCTTAATCTCGCACTGAAACATTGAGTTAAATCCAGTAAACTTGTTTCTTTACCAAAACTGATTGACAGTCCACACCCTAGAAATAAAGTTCAGGGGTAAACTGCAGCAAAGAGGAACAACTGAGAGTAAAGGAAGCGCAAGATAAGATGCTGAGGATTGTATAAAATATGCACAAAAAGTTCCATCATGAAAATACAACACACTATTCCTGTAGTCTGTTAAACTTCGTCTTTGTCACTAGGTATTACAGTGTTAGTGCGACCCCTAGTGGACTTTTCTTTTAACTGTTGTTCTATAAATGTATATATATACTCAGCAAAAAAAGAAACGTCCCTTTTTCAGGACTGTGTATTTCAACAATAATGTTGTAAAAATCCAAATAACTTTACAGATCTTCATTGTACAGGGTCTAAACAATGTTTTCCATGCATGTTCAATTAACCATAATCAATTAATTAACATGCACCTGTGGAATGGTCGTTAAGACCTTAACAGCTTACAGAAAGTAGGCATTTAAGGTCACAGTTCTAAAAACGCAGGACACTAAAGAGACTTGTCTACCGACTGTTTTTTTGCTGAGTATATATATATTTTTTTTGAACCAAAGGCATTTTACTACTTAACTTCTAGCCGTAAATCGAAGGATAGCTACTTGATTCTTCTGGAATTTAGAAATTAAGGGCGTGTTTATATTTGACGAAACAACAAATAATACGGAGCCAGTTTGTTGACTGGCTACAGTTTATTGGCAAGTTTTTCCTGTTTTATTGTATGTAGTTCTATAGCCTACATTTGCATTACAAATCCTGCACTGGTCAACAACCTATTTTATGAGTTTGTACATACAGTAATGAATATAACTTTTCTGTGCAAAATATGCACCTTGCCCTTTCAAACTACCTCATCAATATATATATATATATATATATATATGTATATATATATATAAATATAATCGGCAGTATATATATGTCATAGGAATGATGACATACTCAGCCAAAATGACAGACGCCTGCAGATTCCTGATGACTGAATTTCTTGGTCTCGCTGAGATTTTAGCAGGAAATTTCAACTGTCTTAAATGTTGCAGGCAGAGTGGTGGCTCTGAGGCTAGGGATCTGTCGGAAAGTTGATGGTTCGAATCCTGAGAATGCCAGCATGATCATACTCTGTTGGGCCCTTGAGCAGGGCCCTTAACCTGCAATTGCTTCGTCCTGGATGTGATGCTAATCTGCATCCAGCCCTATAAGGTGGTCCTCCAACTTACTGGGAAATCTGGGGGTTGGTGGCAGGACTGGCACCCCAGCCACCGGGAAAAACTCACACGTGTTTGATATACCTTCGGTTTTAATTTTACACACACACACACACACACACACACACACACACACACACGCAAGTTGGTCTTCCTATCTAAATGGGGACCGTCCATTCATTTCTATGGGAAAACCCTAATCCCCATCACGACACCCTCTACCCATCCCTAACCTTAGCCATAAGTAACCAACCCAAATACAAGACTTTTGGCATTTTTACTTTTTTGATTCCATTCACAGATTTTTATAAAACTGAGGTTATCCAAATGGGGACCTCAAAAGATGTCCCCAAAAGTAGGGAAATTTCAGGTTTTACTACACTTTGGGGACACACACACACACACACACACACACACAGGTTTACAAGGTTCGTAATTATACCATTGTGGTGACTTGCAATTCATTTGTATGGGGAAAACTTTAATCCCGGCCCTAACCTTGACCATAAGTAACCAAACAAAATATGAAACTTATGGTATTTTAACTTTTTTTTTATTGCATTCACAGATCTTTTTTATGACCTGAAAAATGGCGCAGAAGGTATAATCGCCGGAATAACATATACAGGAATCCATTGTATTTACAGGCAATCGTCAGCGTCTTTTTAATAATAGAAGAAGGTCACCTCCCGACTGCGCCCTGTCACACATGCCGCGTCAGTAGAATAACGTCCGAGAGCCGAACCCGGTTATTCCGAGCGACCCACGGGTCACGTGACTCACCCAATAGCAGCAGAGTGGACGGAGGAGCAATACGGTGAGGAAACCGCTTATTTTTCGGTGTCTCGTTATTATTATTATCATTTTAAATCGTGCATATTTTATGTCTTGATCTTGATTGTATGTCTTGATATTGTTATCTATAATATTACATCTTACGTAAATCAACTAAGGCATTGCATTTTCTGCTAAATGCACTAGCCGGAATGTCCGAATATAGACATTAATGTTACTGAAAATGTCCGATCAGCATAGCTACAGGAAATGCGGTTAAATTTTATGTTAAAGATTTTTTACTGTACACGTCCCTATTATTTAATTTTAAACATTCAAAACTATTCACAGGGGCGATTGATACTATACTGATTGATACTGTACACTGTATATATTGACCTTCTATAAGGAGAGCAAGGCGCATTTTCTACCAAAATCATCACATAGGCCTACATACAATCGTTAAACATCTGGATTTGTTTAGTGCAACTAATTCTGCCTAAACTCGTAAAAAAGACTCCACCGAGCATAGTAAAACTGCTTAATTTATATTTGTGTTACGGTGAGAATGATAAAGGAGGCAGTCACCTATGGTGTATTAAATCAGCAGCAAACAATTAAAGGAAATGAACCAGATTGTGTACAGATTTTGAGTTTAAAAGTGGTCTAACTAGACAAATCAGTGAACTCATTAAAAAGCACTGGTTTTTAATTAACCAAAATAGCTAACTAAAGAGGTGCAATATTTTAATGATCTATGGGATGCCAATACAATACACATTTTCAGACTGACTGTTTTAGGTGCCACTGAAAGATAATTTTAGTTCCATTTTTGATTTTTTTTTTATTCTAATACTGTTTTTCTAATTTTATTTTCCAATAGTATCAGTTTAGTTTTATGATTTTTTTCACCATTTTTATTTCGTTTTGGATTTTTTATTTACCTTCATATTTTAGTTTTAATTTTAGTTCTGGTTTAAAACCCTTCACGCAGCCCAAAATGCAATATGAATAACGGCAGTGCTTTAACAAACCCTGGAACATAACTATAAAAATATACATTTATAATACTTCCCAAACCTCCTTATAAACATGTTTGTGGTGGCAGCTTCGGTCTGTTTTTAAATTAGTTGCGATCTTTCCCTTAAGCTGCTCACCGCAAACTCGACCGCTAACAACCTCGACACACTTGGACTTATCAAAGCTTGCATTGTACCCAAAAAGGTTCCTAAACTGTACTTTAATAATGTTTGCATCGAGCTTGCTTTTTATACGCTTACCGTAGGCTATGTTGACCGTTGGTTGTTAAGAGGAGAGATGTCTGGTAGGCAAATATAGGCTTTTAAACTGAAAAATAGAAGATAAAATTAGTTTCTGCTAATTTTATTTCAGGTAGTTTTGGAGCCTGATATGTTCATTTTAGTGTCTCGTGCTTTTAGCTTTATGTGGGGGTTCAGTTCCTGCAAGACCTACCCATATCAGGTAGGTTACCATCTACAAGGCAAAGACAGGTGGTTAGCTTAGCCTAATGGGCAATTCTTATTTGGCCATTGTGTATGTGCCTTATGACAGACTGGCATCCCATTCAGGGTGAATCCCAGCCTTTTGCTGTGTCCTGTCTGGGGACCAGGATAAGTGGTGAGATGATGGATGGATTTTCTACAAACGTCACAATATATAAACGTTCTAGTTCTGTTTGTGCAGTGCACTGTCATCGTTGGCTGTTTGAGTAATACAGGCAAAGTTTGGATCACGGGTTGGATACAGAAAAAGAAAGAAGAAATTTTTCTTGATTGTTCAAGGCTAAGTATTGATTTTTTAATCAACATTCACAGGTAATTTTCCCAATTAAAATATTCTTTTTCATTGGATATAATAGATAGCACCAATAGTTTTAAAATAATTTTTATACGTAATTTCAACAATGGAAAAATGGCTAAATGAACAATTCATAGTTGTCTTTTTAACGGATGTGAAAAGTGAAAAATGCTTTGAAGACCATATTGCATTGTACTTTTCTCTTTGACTGAAAATCATGCAGATACAAATACGATTCTGAATTGTTTTGGACTCGGGTACTAATATATCAGTCAGGTTAGAACAGATTTGTGGTGTGATATCACTTGTTGTAGAAGGACTGACTGTACCTTCATAATTAATTGATTATAATACTTCATAAGCTCCAATGAAACTCTGATCTATAATGCATTATAGATAACTGCATAGTGCATTATAATGATCGGGATAAGAATTAAGGATGATTTGTACTGCATTATGAAGGTATCCATAGTGCAATATACATGAGAGCATCATAAAGCATTCTTAATGCATAATAAACATGGCTTTAAGGTGTTATGCCTTTTTTAAAAATATTTATAGCCATGTTTATAATGCATTATGAATACATTTTAATGTGTTATTAATGTGTCCATCGATTGTTATAGACATAGTATTCATAGAAAGTTTTACCCTGTTTTCCATCTTTCCTCCTGTAGATTTTAAATGTCTGTAAAGGACTCAAAGCCAAATCTCACCCAGTCCCAAGCTGAGGAGCTACTTGGGCGTGTCTTTGGACTAACCGTGACACAGATGAAGTCCTTGCCCAGCTACGATGACCAAAACTTCCATATAAGAGTGAGTGAAGGGAGTGAGTATGTTCTGAAGGTCATGAACTCAGTGGACAGCAAGAATTCCACTCTGTTGGAGCTGCAGACGCACGCCATGAGCTTCTTACGACAGCATGGCCTTCCCGTCCCGACTGCCGTTCCCACTCTGGACAGGCAGCTATTGAGCCTCGAGGCTATTGGTATGCGTTCCAAGGTCTAAATATTTTTCCAGTATTATTAATGAATTGCAAAAGTTAATGTATAGATAGGCCTACTGTATTGTCCATTACATATCTGAACTTTGCACTTGCCTCTGAACCTTCATGCCAAGCCTTATCTCTTTTACTAGCATTAACCTTTATACCATGGAAGAATTGCAGGTCAGGTGGTTTCATTTTATCACAGTTTTCAGTGTTTTGCCTGAAGTGTTTTACTTTGGGTTCTATCCGTAGACCAGCCTTGGGATATATACGCTTAGTGGCCCATTTATTAGCTTCAGCAATGCTAACTGCCCGCTCCTCCAGCATGTGTACAGGGATAAGAGGTTCACTTACTGTTTGACTTAGGGTCAAAGCGGCTAGGAACCTGAAGTGATTTTGCACATAGTGTGACTGTTGGTGCCATACATGGTGGTCCAATCACAGAAAGAAAAAAAATCTTCCTAGGATTTCATCCAGTCAGTGTCAGTCAAACACCTTTACATTAATAAAGGTCCGAGGGGAATGACCAGACTGATTCAAACTTACAGAAAGTCCACGAGTGCAAAAATAACAGCTGAGTACATCAGTGGTTTGCAGAATGGCTTCTCTGAACTGGATTGGCCTCATAGCAGTTCTGGAGAGATCGGATTATGGTTATGGTTAGGGTACCTAGTAAAGTGACCATATGTTTATGTACTTTTTCAGATGATGACTTTCGTTTTTGTATTGTACTGTAGTATGCTTCTTTCGGTTAACCAAAGACCAGAAGAACCGTGTGGAAGTACATCCTATTTAAGAAAAGGTATTTTTTGGCAGATACTGGATCAGGCAGTGAAGTATACTTGGTGAGATTGCTGACCTACCTGTCAGGCACCACTCTTGCAAAAGTTCCCTCCTCCCCTCAGATTCTGTATCAAGTTGGGAAAATGGCTGCAAAGATGGATGAAATACTGCAGAAGGTAAGACATTCAAATTGTAAATGTCTTTATAATATTCTATTTAAAAAACTGAGAATGCAATAGGGGTGTCGATTGTTCAACCCAATACGATTCGATTCACTTACGACTATTGAGGGAACAATCCAGTGCATTGAAATTTTTTGTCGTGATTCGATTTGATTAATTGATTATTCGATTATTTTTATGACCTAAATTCAAACCTTTTTTAGATTCAATGAAAAAATGTCACAAATACAGGATAAGCAGATATAAAAAATGAATGGGAAGATTATCTTAGGAACATAATTGCACACTATAAATGGTATACAAAGAAAGCATAATTTCAGAACATTAATTTTATTGTTATTATTAAACAGGGAGATCACATCAGGGTAAGATTGTCAAGCTGCTGAACTGTACAGAAAAAAAAAAGTCTTTAGCTCTGCCACTGCTAACTGAATATTGGCAGAGCCACCTTTAGGAATGTTAATGAACCCCCCCCCCATCCCGCAATCCAATGTTTCCGAAATTCACAATCTGGCGGTGCTTTGTGTGTCTACCTGCAGCATGTGAACGTGAGAGTGCACCACCCAAAAGTAGGACTATATTTATTTTACCTCCCCCCCCCTAAAATTGATTCTGACTCTACAGATCGATGCTTTGAATTGCAACCTTAATAATCGATTCATCATGATGGATCGATGCATTGTAACACCCCTAGAATGCGAATCACAACATATTGTCATTGCATAAGCAATTATTGTGTGTCATTATCTTGATTTTCAAAACTAAATATTCCAATGTTTTGATGTTCAGTGTGTGTGTGTGTGTGTGTGGGTGAGTGAGTGAGTGAGTTTACAGCTTGAACAGATGACCGGTCAATGACCTATTTTAGGCCTTTTATATGAAATAGCTTCTAAACTTGTTTTATCAGATGGAGCATCCAAACATAGACGCCCTGCAGAGGGAGAACTTCATTTGGAATCTGTCCAATATTCCTCTACTAGAGAAGTATGTCCCTGTAATGGATGGTGATCCTGTGCAGCAGATAGTAAAGGATGTCATTCGGCTGTACAAGAGTCAAGTTTTGCCAAAACTGGGTTCATTCCGGAAGTGTGAGTTCTGTTACACCTATCGTACTTCAAAGCTTTCGTCTAGGCACTGCGTAGACCAACAACTGACTGACTGACTGTAGTGATTTATTATCATTTCTTCTTCGGAATCTGAATCACTGTCTCTTTTCAGGTATAAACCACGGAGACTTTAATGACCACAACATATTGGTGAAACCCGATGGGCCAGCTGGCTACAAGATCTCCGGCATTATAGACTTTGGAGACATGAGCAGTGGGTACTATGTCTTTGAACTGTCCATCACTATAATGTACATGATGATTGAGAGCCCTAATCCAGTGGATGTGGGTGGACCAGTGTTGGCAGGCTGGGAGAGCGTCTTTCCTTTGAATGGAGCCGAGCGGGATTCCCTTTACCTGCTGGTGCTGTGCCGCTTTTGTCAGTCTCTTGTTCTGGCACGTCATGCATGTGCGCTTTATCCTGAGAACGAGGAGTACCTAATGACTACTGCAAAGACGGGCATTAAAATCATAAGTAAACTCTGGGAACTGGGCAAGGAACAGGTAGAAAGTCATTGGGTTGAAGGAGCCCGGAAGTATTTAAACCAGCAGAGTGACGTATTACCGTAACCAAGGAGCTACTGGGAGCACATATGATACAGAAGAACATAAGAAATTTACAAACGAGAGGAGGCCATTTGGCCCATCCAGCTCGTTTGGGGAGAACTCAACTAATAGCTCAGAGTTGTTAAAATTTTTATCTAGCTCTGATTTAAAGGAACCCAGGGTTTTATCTTGCACTACATGAACGGGAAGACTATTCCATACTCTAACTACACGCTGTGTAAAGAAGTGCTTTCTCAAATTCAGTTTAAAATGTTCTCCCGCTAATTTCCACCCATGGCCACGGGTTCTTGTATTTAAACTAATATTGAAGTAGCCATTTGGCTGGAACAGCATCCAGACCTGTTAGAATCTTATATACCTGGATCATGCCCCCCCTACATACAGTATGTGTAGTTTTAATTTCATAAGCTATGCAAAAGGTATTGCACAAACCGTAAAAATGTCATGGCACGTCAGACTGCCTCAGCAGTGGCTGGCAGCCCTCAGACTCCAGAGGGTTATGAGGAAGCCCAAAAAAGAAAAACTGATCGTTATATATCAGGTTTCAATGTGTCAGTGTTTTGTAACGCTAAAACTTGTATTTTTTTCCGTAATTCCCATAAGCTAGACAAATCAAACAGTGCTTGATTTTAATAAAGGAAATTCTGGCCTCCTCTATTTTGTTATACTCAGACATTTTTATAAAGCAATTAAAGTGTACTTAGAATAAAACTGCTGTCAGAGTTGTCTTTATGTTGATCTTTGATCCATGTAGATCTAAAGCGGAAAGCCTTAGGTGACCCAGGCTTATCAGCATGGGCCGTAACACACACAGCGGTACAGCAACACAGCAATGCTGAATATTTTTACCTCATAAATGAGTGTGGAATGGTAAATTCCTAATACCAGACAGACTCTCACTTGGCAATTCAACAGTTTGATGTCAGGTTTGGAATCGTGCAGTGATGTAGACATTACATGTAGAGACTCCAAAATAATCACATCTGACAGAATAAGTGGATTATTTTCCACTGGTATCAGAAATAATGTATAAGTGTACGTACAGTATCTTGCATGGGTATATGGTATCAAGTTTTGTATGCCTGCACATTTCATAATCCTGGTATAGTTTCCAGCGCACGAGTTAACAAGTATCTTAAAGAGAATTTTACATTCCACATATGGTGTCATGACTGCAGACATACAGAATTTGACATACAGAATTTGAGTCTGGAGTTTGCATATTCGCCTGTGTTATGCGTGAGCTAATTGGGATCTTTGAATTGCCTGCAGTCTGTGTGTTTCTGTCCCGTGATGCCCTGGTACCTTATCCACGCCTGGGGGGGGGGGGGCGTACCCTCCCAATATTTAGTTTAGCTTTATTCATCCCCCCCAAATAAACCTTTTTATTAAAATCATTAAGTTGTGTCCCCTCCCACCAATATCAAACTCTCCAATCCCGTTGTCGATATTCCTATTTTGATCATTATTATTTATTTGCGGATTTGGAGTAGACTATGATCATGGAATGATTCCTGACTTGAAGTGAGGAAAATGTTTTACATTCTGCTTTTTAAGGGACTAATATGGTGTCACTGTTCTAATCAACATCTACTTTCTGCAATAGCTGGGAAAAAAAAACTTTCAACAAGATTTAAGGAGACAAACAGGCAACTTAAATGACGTAAATTATAAATGCATGATAGACTTAGGTTTCCTATTTCAATAAGTGTGTGTGACATACAATAGTTGAATGGTGGTTAAAACTATGTTATTTTCATTGTATTATAATAATTTCATAGAAGTTGTAGTATTTAATGCAAAACAATATGTCAAATATTGACTTAGCTTGAAGCTTTCTGTTTGATTAAGGCGCAGTTGAAACAAACATGAATATACATCAGCCCCAATAAATTTCCAGTATTACTTTTCAGCTTGCAGCAATGAAACTTGAAAATAACCATTTACAAAGTGGCAAAATGTGTTGTAAAGTATATATTAAGTACCAGAAATGAACCGAGAAAAAAAAGATCTCCGACTTTCCATATATAATTTACATTAGGGGTTCAAGTTGGACTTATGGATTTAGGTTGGCTTTTAGCGTCTGTTCTCACTGACAGTCAAATACCAGATGACAGACGTAAACGTTTGGTCTCAGAGCCAAGTCTGAGTGCCTCATGAGGGCTGACACAGTTGTCACACAGTTATGTGGTTTATGCTGAACTTACTGTATTTCAGTCAATGCCAGCCCCACAGACTTCATACTGGGGCACCAGTGGGAAAATGCAGAAAATATAACCCTGTCACGTGGAAGTAAATTCTCCTGCATTCCACTAGGTGTCTCTCTTCACACAAATCTGACAGATTCAAAACTGATTTTGCACTATTGTTAAAATTATGTTCTGTTGTGTTGCTTTACGTTGTTGTATTATGTTATGGATTTAAGACAAATGTAAAATGTCTAATTTTTGATTTACTTCAGCATGTATAACAACTTTGTAATGTAAAATATGCTTTAAGTGGCCTGCTAATTCACATTCTCACACACTGTCCCGGCTCAGTAAGACATTATATTTTTCTGGACTGTGCAGTCTGTTTAAATAATGCTGCTGCTTGCCTTTCTGCGTCTTGCTACACTGACTCTCCTGACAGTTTTTGAGTACGCTAAACATCCAAACACTGACAGTTTTTGAGTATGCTAAACATCCAAACACTGACAGTTTTTGAGTAACCTAAACATCCAAACACTGACAGTTTTTGAGTAACCTAAACATCCAAACACTGACAGTTTTTGAGTACGCTAAACATCCAAACACTGACAGTTTTTGAGTAACCTAAACATCCAAACACTGACAGTTTTTGAGTACTAATTAGACTTTTTTCACTGTCAAATCACTCTCTGAAGCCAGAGCTGACACCTCTTATCACTACAAAGTGAATATCTTCTAATTTTACAGTTACACCATTAAATACATGTCAGTCCTAGAGGTCTCAAGAATTTAACGAGTCATAGAACAGATACACATTTTCTGTGGACAATTAAGTTAATTATGTAACTAATTCCTACTCACCTAAGATGCACTGCAGTTATAAAACATTATTAACATTCAAGTCACTAGATGGAGACGTTAACCATCAAATAAAATTAATTTCCAGTAAGAAACAGGAAACGGCAAAGTCATTTCAGTGTAGATTTTCATAATTTGCTGGAGATTGAAACCAAAAGGGCGAGGGGTACATTAAACATGCTTGGCAATCCAATTTTTTTTTTACAAAGTATAGTTTTCAAGCTAAATATATATTTCAGGTAGCTTGTTTTCAATCAGTGTATTCTGCAGCAAAAATAACACATGAAACGTCCTCAGTGCCTTGTCTCTGACACTAACGAATGCAGACTTGCTTGCATTCTATCTTGACCTTGTTTCTTGTTTTATAACCTCCACTGAGCATTTTATCTGGCACCCAGTCATAAACCGAAAGGAACCTGCACTGTTCTACCTCTGAAGCTCCGTATCCAAAAACATTTCCAGGTTTATTTTCAGAAGGACACCTAAGCAGTCGTCCCCCCCCTCCCTAACCACACATTCCATCTATGTTCAGGTTTTTTCCTTCTCTCTCTCTTCCTCACATAGAAATCTCTTGTGTGGCATGAGCAGTTCAGCTCTTACTCCAGTACTATCTGCCCCCTGCCCTTGACACTTCAACCCTGTAAAAACCTCTCGAGATCCTGCACGTATGGGAATGTTTATGTGTGTTTCTATACATCTGCAGGCCGACGTCTCATAAAAAGCTTGGGTTGATGTATTACTAAACCACCTATGAAGATATTTTCATTGCATATTATGAGGTTTAATTATTAAACACAGCAACCAAGATTTCTTTATACCTATGCTGTAAAACACATTAAAAAGTAGATTTATGATGGATTCTTCAGTTAACATTTCATAGCATAATCTTTCCGAATCTCACATAGGAAAAATATTAAAAATAGAATATTTTCTATTTAGATATAACAGAATCTGTTGTTTAATCTGTGTCTTCTGAGATGGCAAACACAAAAATAACTGTAAACTAAAAAAAATGCAAATTTATCATCCACCCATCTAATCCATCCATCCATGCAACTTTTTTAATTTTAGCAATCTTACGTGCATTATTTATGTGGGTATTTATAAATACATAAATATACTGATTCCCTGTAAAAAAAAATTCAGCACTGGCACAAATTGCACATAGAAAACAAACTTATGAAGAAAATTTGGGCTCCCAAAATGAAAGAAGGGTGTTCTGTTTGTCGAATGAGATGAGAACAGTTCTGGATGCTTTTGAAAGCCCCCAAATTTGGAGCAAACATAAAACAATTCTGGTAGCCAAATGGCAGTGCTCAAGAAACCGCACATAAAAGAAACAAAGAAAATGTACTTTCAATATTGTCATGAGCAACTATTTTAATAATTAAACTGAAAAGTTCTGTGAATCTCAAGTAGTATTTTGTGTTTCCGAGTAAACTAAAAATACACATTTCTATAGATATGCATTTGGTACATGCATTATAATGTTATTGCTTAAGTAAGCAGTGTGTGTGGTTTAAATATAAATGGCAATGGAGAACGTGTAAGTAGCAGAACCTGAGCGGCTGGCTGGCTTACAAAGCTGCTTTATTCTTTACGCGCCATGGTGTGCAAACCATCCTGTGACTTTCCATCGCTGTACACAGAGGACAGGCGGCACGTGCTCAGATTCTGAAATAGCTTCTGGCCGGGGATGGAAACCACAACCTTCTGAAGGGACCCACAAGACAGCTGGACTCGTGGACTGACAACTGCGTGTTTTCATTAGAGCACTGCTTCTTTTTAAAGACATTTATCACAAGAATATACCACAGTTTATACCTTTTTGGTATAAAACTTTATGCTCACTTATATACCTTTTTGGTTTATAACTTTATGCTCACTTTTACGTATACTATTTAGTCAATAACATTAAATAAAAGACAATTAGTTCTAATTAGACTAAACACACTAAGTGATTGTTTTCCCCTTATCAATTAATACCAAGGGGGGACCAACGCTGTAATAATAATATGTATTGGGGGGACATTGTGAGCCCGTCTGAATATTGGGGGGCAACGTGTATATTATATTATACTTACGTATATTATAATTATGCCCTTGAT